GCATAAAACGTGTACCTGCTTTATATATGCCACCCCCCTACTTTTTGGGCTTGGAAATTTTGGAAAAAAATGGTGGCTTATACATGGGGAAATACGGTAGTAACAATGGGAAAAAGTATATAATGCAACCACCCGTGGCTGTGAGGAGCAGTGATAATATGTCGCTCCTTCAAGCGCCCTATCTAAGTTCCATTCCAATCGAGGGAGCTGATAAGACCCAGGCGATTTTTGGGCGGTATTCCAATCTGGATGAGAGTACCTTTTGAGAGGCAAAGCTACACAAAATTTAATGTGGCAACATTTAGCTATTTATATTTCATCATCTCGTTAAACCTGCGGTAATTACAATTCTTAATGGAAGAATGGCATCAGTAATAATAATACAAGTAACGGACGGGTGCACGGCTAAGTTGATAACATCTCTCATGGATTTTGTCGTTATTTCGGCATTGAGTTTGCTTTAAAATATACGTCTCAGAATCCTCCAGGTTGCATCAAGTATTAAGATAAGGAATGAGGTTAATCATGTTGAGTTGGAAAAACATCAACTGATCAATCTTCAAGATTCATTCCTTGACTTCCATCCAGGTTATTTTCAGAATTAGTATGCTCTAAAACTGTCGCTAATTTTTGAATAATAACTGATCTTATTTCACTTGAGATATTTTACGGACTTATAGTTGATTTTTTCACGAATTTTTTCGATTTGGCCCTATGGTACCAATAAATTGAATTTGGCCCTTACTCCAAAAAGGTTTTCTTAGCCGGGCTGGACTGCAATCTCGACCTCGCATAGGACATCCTTTGTGGGATTCAACACCGTGCCGTGCGGATGGGGGGAGGCCCGTTACCACTCCGCAACATAGCCACGGGTACCATGCACCATAGAAAAGACGTGATTGTCGAGGCATACCTGGCCTCTCACAAATAAATACTTTCGAATGACTTTGCCAAAGAGGCAGTCATGTATTTATCATTACAATTGACGACGTCACTTACATTCACTATGTGTATGGTTTAAGATCCTCAGTAAACCTTGAATATCGACTTAGGTAAAAGCTTATTGTTGAATTCTTCCTACACTGATTGGTATAGGTTTACAATGCCTTAGAGCCATGTCAACCTCAATGGCGTCATGAGAACTACTTGTTTCGTTGTTAGAAAATATTGGGCCTTGAATCGTCTTAAACGGCCTACAGCGACTAAGTCCTTATTCCACAATTAGTGATTGTTCAAATATACTCATATTGAGCATAATAATTGTTCATTTGTAAGTAGGTTTTCGAGACATCTCATATGCTTGAATATGATCGACATCTTTAATTCTAGTGACAAATTCTTAGTTGTCTTATCGACAATCCCATGATAAATTTGATATCGAAGGGGCCATATATGCTCTGTCGGACGCACTTGCCCATGTGGGTGTTTAGCGTAGTGGTTTTATGTCGCCTCGATGCCCACGAATCGGTTTCGAAACTCCTTTGGGTGCTCAAGAGATCCTGGTGAGATCTAAGCTGCAGTCTAGCCTGGATGAGGAAACCTTATTTTAGGCAAAGCTAAGTGATACAGACACAAGGACTTGCGATGCGAACTCCTATTCTGGAGAACAAATGTATGGCTAAGCTTGAGGAACACAATTTGGAAGATATGAAGACCAATATGTTGTGACCTCTGGTATGG